AGAAAAGTTATTTTTTTTTTAAACGAGTGTGCTGGTGCAATTTCTCATGTAATTGGCCAATCAAACCCATTAGATTTAATTTCTAATGAGATTAAAATCCAAAAAATTCTATTGAAACAAAGAGAGTTGTCTACGGATGCAAACGGATTGGATTCAGATCTGATAATAGAAAATGCAAATCCAATGGGATCTCGCAAAAGACAAAAAGCATCACATTTTATATAAAGAAAAACAAAAAAACAAGTATTTTTTCAACTATTTTCATAATGGATGTATTTGGTTTATAGTCAGAATCAGAATGGTCTATTAATTCCCTCACCTGTTTAGTTCAGATTAGAATCTAATCTGAATTAGGATTGGCTGGAATAGATTCTCATTCCGAGGAGAGGAGGAGGGAATAAGCATTCCCTCAAATGGGGAATGCCATTCAACCAAGAATGGGAATGGAACTGCAATTTGATTCTAATTCTGTACCCCTATCGGATTGGATAGGGGGTGATCTATATTCAATCTGATTTTTAATTGAATCCTGTTGTCAAACCAATCTGAAAATGAGTCTGGATCACCTGTCAACAAAATTCATTCTAATGACCTACCAATATGATTCCATACCGTACATTTCATACATGGCGAGTTCTACTTTTGTGATAAGTCCCAGAGTCATGGTGTTGATCAAATTAGTAGAGGGTTGGAATGTATTTTATTGGTAGAAGATCCGTATTATCTGAAGTGAAAATCCAACAAGGAGAATATCAAAATATGATAAAATAGGATTTGGATACATTTGCACCCCTCGGCGTGGAAATTATTAAACACCCCTGCTATACCACTCTATAAAGTCGGATTATGTATCATTTTTCATTTTTGCATACCGAACACAGCCCAACTTTTTTAGCAAATAAAACCCATTCAAACAGAGAGTTGGCGGGTTGAAATCTCTCTCTCTCTCTCTCATGCCAATTATAAATAGGTCTGGACTCTGGACATCTGGTTTAGGCTTGGCTCGTGCATAACTCGGTTTGACTCGATGCCAAACATTACGGGTCCATCCATCCTTAAAGATTAGGGGTTGGATTTACCATGTCCGAAACAAACTGGAAAGCCAGTTTCAAGTTCAGTTGGGTTTGCTCTCAAGGTCAAGGGGAGGTTGTGCACTGCAGCCTTATATAACTAAACGATAAGAATTTAAGATTGTTTTGGCATTTGGTTATTCGATGCCGTAAAACGTCCAAAAACTGGCATCTGGCAAAAGGACCGGGGACGCCCCGGCCTCTTGCTCCACTGGTCATCTGTGTTATGTATCCCCCATCTTTCCTCACACGTGATGTAGCAGTACCTAACCAGCAACCACACCTCGTCAATTATAGACAGGGCTATCAAGGGATGTAATTACTGATTAGACTAGATTGGGTGTCCTACAATTTATTTAATATTATAATATATATATATATATATATATATTTTTTTTTTTTTTTTCATGCAGAAACAAGTTATTAGTAGTACTCTGTACTTGTTGGGTCGGACCTATTTGCTCCCTCAATAACATGAGTCTTGAGGTGGGAGACTGGGTCAATCCGATTCACAGCCGAGCTAAGATCGAAATGGTTGGCATTAACCAAGCCAAACCCGGGCACAGAGGCCGGATTGGCAGGTGGAGGTGGCCAGGTGGGGTCTTCCTGCCGAGAAGTAGTGTCGTCTCCAGACTCCAGTTATGATCAGCTCTCTTCTTCCTTCAGTTAACACAAACTTTTATTAGATAAATGGCGAAGAATCTCGATGGAATAATGGTTTTCTTTGCAAGCCAACTCACTAACAGCTTATAGCTTCTCTTCTTTTGGAACTTGAAGAAATAAAAATGGTGGGTTTCAAGTCTGCAACTTGCTGCAGGACGGTACTAATTAATGAAAAAGGTCATTCCGACAAGAAGCTCTCATTTTCAAAAGTGTACACTGTACAGGGTCAGATTTCTAATTAAATAACAGAAGCCAGAAGGTGATATCTCGCATGAGGGGCCCAATCCCAAATGGATATTTGGATGCATGGTGGATCCCTCTCACCTTTGCTGTCACCCCCCAAAAAACCAAACTTTGCATAAAAAGCATTAAGTTCATCGCCAGTCTTCATTCAGTGAATAAATATAATAGTACTCAGCAAAGCAAACACAGAAGCACATATACTAATAACAATTAAAAACCATGATTGAAAGACAAGGAATCATTCTTTCCTTTTTTTGTTTGTTTGTTTACATATACTAAGTAGACTTCAACAATCGAAGTTGAAGTTTTTGAAAATACAGATCGATGCTGTTAAAGAATATTAATTACTTGTAAATTAAAAAAATTATAGAAATATCCCATTCTATAGTTTGCGTGTGATTAGGTTGTTCCTTTTTCAGAGCTATGGCCTATGGTTGCAGTGTTGCAGAAAAAAGAATATGATTCTATTTGACTATTTCTAAGGTGGCTTTTTGTATGAGGCTGCAACCTGCAGACTCCTCCATTGTAAATGGATGTGGAATATATGCTACAAATTAACTGTTAAATATACAAAAGTTAATTTACATGGGGAAGCTAAACACCCCTCAACATATAAATTAACCCTGCTGTTTGGCTTTTCATGATGTACTATAAACACCAACTCCCAGCTTTATAGAACTTGCCAAACAATTTTAATTATCTAAACTCACTAAAACACCATTTTCCAAGGATAAATACCCTAATAAGATTTTTATTTTTAATTATTGGTATCATTGTATTTCATACCCTTGAAATTAGAACATGGAAAGTTAAAAGAAGAAGAATTAAAAAATAGAGAGAAAGAAAAAGAAAAGAAAGAAGAGGGGAGAGATTAGCTTCAACTTGTCAACTTTTTGTTGAAAATGGGGTGAGGTGGATGAAGGGGGAACAAATTCCAAGCCCATGGGAGCCCACATCTGCTGTTTCTTTTCTTTTAATCGATCAATTAAGCCAGCTGAGTGCTGACTGCTGACACATTCAGTCCTTAAAAAGTTCTCATTGACCTCAAAAATGACTGGGGGCAGTGAAGTCCACTATAACCAACCAACTAGATTGGAGTCTGGAGATTGCAAATCCAACTCGATCCGTATTCATAATTACTAGGTTTCATTTGTTGTAAAATTTGGATTATATATATTTAGATCGAAATCAGACCCATACATTTGGACCAAATGGACGATGTGATTTGGGCATATCCCATATTTGACAGAGGCACATCCTACTTTGGTCAGAATAGTCAAAGAAGTGCATGTAAAGACAAATGCACCACTATGTATTGGATTTTGCCGTTAATGTGTTTGTAAAATTCAAATCTTACTTTTTTTTGTTTGGGTAATAGAATTGATCAAGGCAATTCCTGTGATACCCGAAGGGTATGTATGATATCGGTTATCACAAAGGGGGGAGGGTTCACATTCATGATTCATGAATCATGATGGATCCAGTCAACATGGGGCCGCTCTAGAAGCATTGGGGCAGTTAAGACTTAAGAGGTGGTGAGGGCAGTAGGATATATAGTAGCTGATAAGGGAGTGAGGGTCCACCATGGGCTCTCTATGGGAAAAGCCAAAAGCTGGGAGAGGTTGGAGGTGCGGTCTCTTCGGCTTTAGGAATCCCTTTGTAGACAGTAGACGTCCGTCCCTACATGATAAAAGTTGAGAAATTTTCAACTTTCATTGCCTCACTTACAATTAAAGCAATATCTATTTTATTTTGCAGTCCAGGAACAGGGGGGAAAGTTAGATGAAGTTGCTGAGATGAATACCTTATTTTTTACTCAAATAAATTAACTAATTAATGAATTTTCAAGAGTATAATGATCTACCCTATTTTAATTTCAACTTTCAAGTTTCAACCATAAAAGAACCCACAACCTACTTAAGAATAGGATGAGATGCTCAGTCAAACAGAGTAGAGCTGTCTTTGGTTTTTATTCATCGTTTTCAAAATCAGACCGTTGAACCAGAGTAGTCAAACAGACTAATTCTGTTTTTTCTCAAAACCCTTGATTTTGGTCGATAAACCGCTGAACCAGTCAGTTTACAGTTCGAACCATTTGGACAGTTTTGACCGTTTTTCAATTTTTTTTTTTAATTTTTTTATTAGAACAGCCGACCATTTGGACTGTTCGACCCAGTAACCGGACCCCAACTGGTTCGGTCGCCGGGTCGGTTTTAAAAACCATGTTTTTACTCAATGACCGCATGCTGTTTGAAATTTGAATGATCACTCTCTATTTTTCGTTATCTTTTGAGTCTGAACGGTACAGATGGACATGCACAATAATTGGACCCACTGTATGAGAAGTGGACCCTCTTGATACTTATAAAGCATCAAGACTTACGGGGCCCAGTGTATTGGATGTGAGAAGCAGCATGCTCATTTATTAGACTTTAGGCCCCTAGGAAACCCATATATGTCAATACAATCATGTATGGTATTATTGTACCCATAAATAGCTTTAATGATGGTTGCATGAATCAGTGACAACTACTTGGACGGTTGGATGAGTCGGATTTCTTGGATGAACCATTGAATATTCAATTTCCATATTCTAGTCTTCTCCCCCTTTTTTTACAGTATTTCCCTGGTTTATGTTAATAGGTCTCATCTCTCATGTAATGGGTCTGAAAAGCCAGGACCTCTAAAGCTTTTGTCTTTCTTGCTCACACCTCACCTCCTATAGCCAGACTCATATCTCATTTTAAGGTTCCTTTCTTATTTTGCCAAAATTAAAAAAACAAAAAAATCCATGTAGAACCAGAAAGCCATGTATATACAACGCTATGATTTTAAAGAAATTAGAGCATAAAACTGCTAAAATCACTGGTTTTGAGATTTTTAATTTTTTAGGACTTAAAATTTTTTTCCTTTTTCTTTTAGGGTTTTTTTTTTCCAAACACCCAAGTTTTCTCCTTGCTGCTAGTTATGTACTTGTATTTATATCTTTATCCATATTTATTAGATACACTAGAGTGGATGAAATGAGATGGGAGAAAACAACAAACAATTAGTTCAATTGTGAATTGACACACAGGCATAACAGATACAGAGGATCAAGTTTTTAACTGATTAAACCTTTACAATAGTAGTCATCTCACGCCTTATGATCAGCGCTTCATGTTCGATGCGTGGGCAATCCAGGTTTCTCAACCCACTGAGCTAGTCAATCTGTACAAAGCGTCACATACATGTCTCATTGACGGCCTTTTCTCAGGGTTGGTTTGCACACAGGCCAGAGCAATTTTTAACACCCCAACCATCTCCTCTTCCTTGTCAGATTCTCGAGCAAAGAAGGGGTCTACCACATCCCAGAGTGGTTTCTTTTCTTCAATACAGAGCTGAATCCAACCAACCAGATCCATTTCTGTTGTACCAACTTGAACCACGGGCGGTCTTCCAGATATCATTTCTAGTAAAATTACCCCGTATGAGTAGACATCCCACTTCTGCGATGGCTTGACACTTTTTGGAGCTTCAGGTGCTTGATAACAAGATGCAGAGTTCATGGTTGGACTAACCGAAGCAACTTCAGATGACGCATTCTGTTGCTGATATGGTTTCTCAGAGGTCATTCGATTGGACTGCAGTGTTGGGGATCCCCCAGCTATATTGGCAAGCCGTCCTAATCCAAAATCGGAAATGTGGGGTTCCATGTTCTGTCCAAGCAATATATTGGTGGGCTTTAGATCTCCATGGACATACTTCTTAGGGCTAAATTCATGCAGATAAGCCAATCCTTTTGCTATTCCCTTCATGATTCTCAGCCTAATTGGCCAGGATAGAGGTGTAAATGATATCATTCCAGCCTTCCCTGATGAGATTAATAAAACGCAAACCACCATTTACAAACAAAAGCAAACAGAGCAAAGAATGAAAATGGTTTTGGAAAAAAAAAAAAAAAACTGCAAGTGTTAGATGCTGAAAGCTTACCATGAAGTGCGGTAGAAAGATTGCCATTGGGTATGTAGTCATATATGAGTAGCTTCTCATCGATGGACCAGTAATAGGCTCTAAGGGTTACAATATTGAGATGCCTGAGCTTGCCAATTGCTTCTACTTCAGTCTGGAACTCCTTAAACCTTTGAGAACCACCCTCTCCCAGTCTTCTCACTGCTAAGGTGAGCCCATCTTCTAGCACAACTTTGTATACAATCCCTATTCCACTCTTTCCCAGAACAAAGGCAGAAGCCTTGAGAAGTTCGTCCAGATCGAAACCCACCTGCATATCCAATGGCACGAGATCACACTGCTCAACATTTTCCGACATTGTCTCGGACTCATCTTTCCTAAAACACAAACACTCCTTTCTCCTCTTCCAACTCTTCATAAAATTGGCATCGTCCGCATCCTTATCTTTCCCACAAGCGCATACTCTCCAATAACAGTAAGAGAACAACAACCCAATGAGGCAAATTGCAACCATATCACTCGCCACGATTGCAATAATCGCACGTTTACTCAGTCCTCTGGCTTTGCCACTCTTACCAGCAGCACTGTCCGGCGCCAAAGGCAGGTAATTGGTAGGTATATAAGGAAATGAGGATGGAGAGCTCGCATCAGGAGAACAAGGAATCTTCAATGGAGGTCCACAGAGCCCTGTGTTCCCAACAAACGCCGTTGGTCCTCTGTTAACTAAAGCACCATTCTGGGGTATCGACCCACTTAAGTTGTTGTGGGAGAGATCAATATATACCTTCTCAGGAAGTTTCCCAAGGTTCTCTGGGATTGGACCAGTGAAGTGATTATGGGAAAGATCAACGGTTCCTTGCAAGCTTGACAAATTACCCATGTCGCTAGGAATTGAACCGTTCAAGCCATTGAAGGAAAGATTGAGTTTTTCCAGAGCAATCAGACTAGTACCAAACCCATCTGGCAGGGAACCAGTCAAATAGTTTTCACTGAGACCCAGGGTCCTTAATCTCTTGCACTGAAGAAGCGAAGTGGGTATCGAACCATTCAAGAAATTCTGCGATAAATCTAAGGTCTGAAGGTACCTGAGCTGGCCAATCTCAGGAGGAATGGACCCATATAAGGAATTTCCATACAGCACCAGGCTTTGAAGGCCTTGCGCTTCGAAGATCTTAACCGGTAAACTTCCATAGAGCTTGTTGTTCCTCAGATTAACATGGCGAAGCGCAGTAAGCGATCCAAGAACAGGATCAAGAAGCCCAACAAGTCTCTTTTTTGGTATGCTAAGAGAAACAACTCTGTCTTCTCTACATGTAATCCCATTCCACGAGCATGGGTTCTCATCGGTATAGTTCCAGTTAATGAGAGCCCCTTCTGGGTCTTCTATGATGGATTGTTTGAACGACAAAAGAGTAAATCCTTCACCATTCAAAGAATCCACAAGAGCAGAAGAATTGAAGAGGAGAAGAAAAGCGAACCAAAGCAAAGCTAAAACCATCACTAGGAGAAAATTTTAGAAAAAAAAAAGTTGACCTTTGGAGCAAATCCAAGGAAGGCAGAGAAATGGGTTTTGTAAGGCTTACCTTTTCTGCTAATTAAAAAGCCATGAATGCAACTGGGGAAAGTTTGAAAAGACGAAACACAAGAGAAGGAAAAACAGAGAGGAGAGTGTGAGATTTTACAATGACGGAGAAGAGAAGGGTCAAGGTTGGAACCTTTGAAGAATGGAAAAGCTTCCTACCAGTAGGCATTAGGAAGCCGGAAGATGGACAGATAATAAGAGAAGAGAAAGAAGATAGCTGATTGGCGATAGCTGAAATAAGAATCTCATAATTACAGTAATATGCCCAATGCATTCCGGAATTAGTATTTTATCGGAGAATTCCAGTCAATTTATCGCTATATTTTGGAAGAACAATTCCATTTACTCCATTTTAAGTAAATGATCATCAGATGGTTCATATATGATCAAAGGCTTCATTTCTTAACAAGACAGATGGCATAGGATACTGTTTGCTGAGTCTAGGCCCCAGGGTCATTGCATGTGGAGTTGTAGATGTGTCAGGCTTTCCTATGGCTTAATTTCTCACGAGATGTAATGGCATCCGAAGAAGAGACGATAAATTAATCTGTTGGGCGTCCAACTGTGGAAGTAGCCGTTTGTCGGACTGGAGAGGAGCTCCGTTTAGACTTTAGAGGGACTCCGCAGTCTAGGCTCTGGTCTCTACTGGTCTCTATTAAACAAAATAAATAAAACATTTTTCTCTTTAATAAGTTAGTTAATAAAAGGACAATTGGCCATTTGGTAATGCTTTTGGAAGCATCGAACAAATAGCAAGCCTCCCTCACTCATGTGTGTCCCCCTACAGACTACAGAGAGAGAGCATACAACAGTGAGGAGAGGCCGAGAGCATGCCATGGGCCACGGCCCATGGGCCCATGGACAAATTCATTACTTTGAACCCACATTCCACAACAGCAATAAAAAGAAGCAAAAAGGTTGAGCTGTTCCGCTATCGAGGCATCCCCCTTGTTTTGCTGTACAGCTTTTAATAATAACGCTTAATTATTGCCCCTCTTTGGTCCCACCTGAGCTGGACCGAATAACTCCTCTCCTACTATACTTTCACCGTTGCCACGTGTCCGATGGTGTTACATTTATCACATATTAACTTGGGCTGCCACTGCCATCATTTCATTACATGGGCAGATCAATTGGTTGGTTTTTAAAATTAAGTTTGATTCGGGCGACCATGATCAAAGGGTTTGATTAAGTATGATTTGCAAATCAGGAGGTGGAACCCATGTATGGTCAACCCAATATTTTGGTTGTTCAATTGGAATCATAACCTTTACCAAAATAAAAATAAAAAGGGGGAATCATATGTATCTTCAATTGTATGATCAAGAGATGGAAATTCAACACTTGGATGGTCAATTGGAACAAGTGAACCTCATGAAACAATATATATATATATATATATATATATAACCTTTACCAAAATAAAGTTTATAAACCTTTGGTGCAGGGAAAGGGAATGTCAATTTAGGGCTTAATATACCAATTTTTCCTGTAGTGATATAATAGATACTGTCATTATTAGCATGCTTCCAAACTCTATGATTTGCAAAATTTGGAAATAAAGGTGCAGATAATGCATGCATGTGCTCGCATATTCAATCCTAAAATATGTTTTTAAGAATAGTCTTTTTAAAGGGTTATGAATATTCAATCTACAAATTAAATAGTCAAGAGGACACTTTCCTATGCTCAGGTGAAGCAAGAAAAGGAAAAGAGATTGTGCAGAGCTTCCTCTATTCTTCTCCATACTATGCATGTGTTTTGGATATACATCAGTAACGTAAACATAATTGTTAGTTTGTCACTGTTGAATGTTGATTGTTGAGAAAAATATCCCTAATTTTTTGGGTAATGTTGCAATATAAAAAAGAAAAAAGTTTACTTGAAGTGAAAAATTTTTACTGGACCCTAAACCATTTATTAATAAATTAAGTGGAATAGGCGTGAATAAATGGGTAAGTTTTACTTGGAACCCAATGGAATCAAACTTGAATCAGTTTTGAATCAACCCTATCTAATTTGTTATTAAGTAGGGTTTGGTTTTAAATTCATGGAACTAACTCTTATACCATAGTTTTTAAAATCGACCCGAAGACCGAACTGTTCAGGGGTCTGGTTACCAGGCCAAAATGGTCTGACTGTTCGAACGGGACGCTTGGCCCATTCTGACAAAAAATAAAAAAATAATAATTTAAAAAACTAAAAAATGGTCAAAACCGTTCGAATGGTTAATCGCCCGGTTTAGCAGTTCACTGACCAAAATCAACGGTTTTGGGGAAAATGGAACCGGTGACCGGTTCCTAGTTTTTCTGGTCTGACCGTCCGGTCCAGTCCGATTTTGAAAGTCATGCCCTATACAACTTAGTTTCAGGGTCTAGGGGTTTACTCTACCCATAACAGCTTGGGATAACCGACTTTGCTTGGCCTTGGTGGAATTAGTAGCCTTGGTTGACCTTGTTGGAACCAGCTTTGGAACCAAACTTGCCTTAGTGAAACCAGACATGTCAATTCCCATACTTGACCATCGAGTCATTGAAGTGCTTTGATCTTTTTTTTTTTAAATTTAATATTTGAGTGTGTATAATAAGTAATGTAAAAAAGTAATATCTACGAAACTTAAATTATAATGATATAATAATCTACATACCAAAATACTTAATTTAATCAATAAAATTAATATAAGTTTTGAAATATTATTAAAAATATAGTTTTTAAAGAATGGATTCCACAAGTAGACCCTAGAGTCAATCTTGAAAGCACTAAGGCCAGAACCAGCCTTGACAAGTAGGTTCAAATTCCAAAAACCTGGAATCGATTCTTACTAAGATAGAATTGGAACCAAGCCAAATCGATCCATTCTCACCCCTACAATGGAAAATATAATAAAGGGATAAGTAGACCGCACTCCACCTCAGAATTCTAAATTAAACTGTAGACCTTCAATAATTCAAAATTATAAATACCTCCACGTATAACACCCATACCCGCTTGTAAATTGGCATCAATTCCCAACTGGCACCTACCCCCAACTGTATGATGGTGCCAAGATTTCTGACGATGAACTGAACAATAAAAACTCCTATAATAAAAATATTTCAATTGGTGGTTTTTTCTATATATTTTGGCAGTACGGGGCAAAACAGTAAATTACCACTAAAAAAACATTATAACTTATAAAAATAAAGATGGCTAAAATAGTGACATCATGTTAACTTTTAGTACAAAGCATTCTTTAAGCGGTGGATCTGAACTGACTCTCATATGTTTGAATCAATGTTTAAGGTCGAGCTAAAAGTCATCCATTTTAGTCTCAACTTTTTACAACATTATTCAAATGCTCTTGGGGGATAAATATGTCCTCTCGATCTTCCAAGTTCCAATCTTTTTTTTTTTTTTCTAAATTTTTCAGATGACTAGCAACAGAAGAGCTTTGGTTATTATAATTCGAAGCATAATCACATATCTATTATGCAAATATGTAATTATTTTGTAGCAATAAAAGACACAAATTTGCTATTTTTCTAGACGAGTCGTTTCGAGAAGCCGTTTTAGTGAATTAGGAACTTGGAAGACTGAGAGCATCCAATTGTTCTCTTGTCCATCCTTTATTCATGCTAAAAATTTCAATTAGCCAATAACCGGCACTTACCAAGCAATAGAAAGTGGAATCTAAAATACTTTTTAACATGGTTTTTAAAACTGACCCCAGACCGAACCGGTCAGGGGTCTAGTTACCGGGTTGAACAGTTAGCCTGTTCTGATAAAAAAATTAAAAAAATAAAAACGGTCAAAACTGTTTGAACGGTACGGTTTTCAGTGGTTTGTTGATCAAAATAAATGATTTTTAAAAAAATTCTGGTTTTAGAAAAAACCGAAACTAATCCGATCTGATTTTAAAAACCATGCTTTTTAATAAATAAATCTCCTCCAAATCACTGGTATGACTGTCAAAATCGTAAGCATCAGCATATAGGTTTCAGATCCAAAGTCATCATTCTCTCACGGCCCTTAACTATTGTTTTTGAAAAATGACAAAGTTTGCCTATTTCTTGAAAGAAGTTTTTATAGGATCTCTCTATCCACCAAAATTTTAACGACCAATAAATAATCATTTCAAAAATATTACTTAACCCATGATAGATGGAATTAAATCATTTCTTTGCTATCTTCCATTTATCTATTTTCTTTTTATTCACTAAAAAAAGTTATGATCTGAAAATGTATGGGGGCAAGTATTTGGATCTACTATGACATAGCTATTAGACGCTCAACAGGCCTTCTTTTTTTTTCAAATCCCTTTCCTAACTTCAACTTTACACAGAAACAATTTTTTTTGGTGCAGTGTCCATAGGTGTCAATTGGACTGGATTTGGTCCAATCCAATTCAGTCCGATATGAGTTTATTATCAATGGACCAGGTCCAGTCGAATCTGATGAATATTCTAGATTATTTTGGACCAGTCCAATTCAATGTCTGTGCCATCCAATCTGTTCAAACTGGTTTTGATTTAGATTGGTTCAAACTTAAACCTAATCCATTGACACCTATGTTCTTATCTTCTATCAAGGAGCCGGATATTATTTCAATCCGATCAATCTAATATAAACCCATTACGGATAAGTCAGGTCCAATCCAATCTAATAAATACTTTGAAGCATTATTTCTAGACTGGTCCAATTTAATGATCCATCCAATCCATCTAAATTGATTTTAATTTGGACGGGATACAATCCAAAACCGATCCATTAACACCCTAAGTGTTCTGATTTATGCTGGCAATGCAATTATGCAATGGACTTGAAGGATATGGACCCATTAAACAAGCAAGAAATTAAAAATTCAATTATAAAGACAAAAAACGACTTGATATTTTCCCAAGGTTTCCCACCTTATCTTCAGTGCGAAAAGTGAAAAAACTCTTTATTCAGAATAACTATTTCTGTAACCCTCAAATGTGACTGGAGATTTGAAATACATGGTGCAAATGCAGCCTTTTCAGGCATCCACCCAAGGTTTAGGGGAGCGGGGATCTGTTCCTCACAAATGGGTGCCTCACACCATGCATTGGAAACATTTCCCATGAATAATAATTAATAAATACGGGAGATGTTCCCAATACATGATAGGATGTGCGTGTGAGATGCCAGGTGTGAAGAGCAGATCCTGTCTCCTTTTAGGGGTCACCCACCACTGAAACTATAGGCAGTAGGAACCTAATTAATTAAATATAATTAAAAACATTTATAGCACCTTTAGAGGGGTTGTCTAAGTGCCTTAAAATTGTAGGATATACAGAAACAAATTATTTACTAGCAGCTAGCCTCATGAGAATTGAGAGTCTCCAAGGGGACATAATGACATATAACAATTCATGTACCATGCGTATTTTTAAATACAAGTATAAAAACCATATAGATGCACTAGTGTCTAGAGCACAACTCGTTGAGAAAACCTTATACAATTCAGTTATGTAACATGAAAAGTTAAGACAAAATCAAAGCATAAATAAACCGAAAATATTCAAGACAAAGACAACACAATGGAACAGTGACAAGAAAGTGAATTACAGAGGAAATTAAGGCTGCGTTTGTTTGCAACACAAATATGAGCCGGGTACAAAATTTTGCACCCAATTTGTCTCATTTGCATCCATTACCAGTGCAAATTTTTCCTCTGAAAAACTGATGAAAATTTTGTATATAAATAAGGGGCCATATCAATTTATTTTCTACCTTATTCTCCTATCATTTTACTTCCCACTTTACTTCGTACAAACAAGGTCAAATCTGAAGCAAAAGTACCTTTCCAATAGTTCATTGTTTAAGTTCCAGCAATGTTAGAGAAGCATAGCTACAATAAAATCTACTTGGGTACCTTTCTACCATGCAAGCCAAAATTGTGTCTCTAGACAGGAATTATGCACTAATAAGAGAACAAAAAGAAAAGGAAAAAGATGGGATAGGGTTTAAAAAGAAAAGGTTTAGCAGGTAATTAAGAGGCAAAGGATTAATCTTCAGTGAACTGACCAATAAAGAAATATCAAATCAACCCAAAGAACTAATAGTAATAATATTCGTCTCTGATTCTGTAGTAGGAGATGTACACCCCCAATAATAATGATACCCTCAGGCAGATAAGTGGTTCTTTTCAGTTCCTTTTCTGCTGAAGAACCTCACAAAGTTGGGCATTGCCTTCCTTTTATTCTTGTGAGCAATTGAAGGAGATTTAGCCACATACCAAGCTCCTGGTGAGCTAGGCCTATGTGGCTTGGCCCGTCTTGGGGTTGAGTTGCCATTATCTTTCATGGATTTTCTTCGTAATGCCTTTTGGACTTGCAAATTTTCAGTTTGGGTGTCTCTCTCACTTTGTTGTTTTGTATATGACTCATGTTCCTCCATTGCTTGTAGCTGACTCAATTCTTTTTCTGCTATTTCAATTTTCAACATCTCCTTCTTAGAAGCTCCTAGTGCTCCGGTCCATGCCTCAGCTGCTGCAACCTTCTTATCTGCCATTTCTTTCGCTCCGTCTGCATGCCCAGTCAAATATTCATACTCAAATTTTGAAATGGTTATTGAAGGCTTCTGCTCAGGTGTTGTAGCTCTATCTCTCATGGTTTTCTCAGTAAGATTTTTCAAGCTATCAAGAGCACTTGCTTCTGATGCTTTTACTGCTTCAAGCTCTTGCATTGCAGCTTGTAACTCGCTCTCCATCAAGTCAATTTTAGATTCAATCTTTTGCGTTTCTTCTCGGACGACAGCAGCTTCTTCTCTAACGAGCTCTCTCTCTTTCTTTGATGCATCTCTTTCTGTTTCTAACTGATGAAGAGTGGCTGATAGATCGGAAAGAATTACTTTTGTCTTTTTCTCGGCTACAGATGCAACTTCCATCTTGGCCTTAGCGTTGAGGAGCTTCGAATTCAGACTTTGAACATTTAAATCTGCTTTATCTTCTAAATTCTTCAAATGGGCTGATTCTTTGGAAACACACTTGATTTCGTCTCTTATGGAATCCATGGAGGACATGAATTGGTATCCTTCTTCTCTAATATGGGTCAATTCTTTCTTTGCTGCATCTAGTTCTTCAGTTGCTGACCGTAACAATGTTGAATTTTCTGGCTGCTTTTCCATTCCCTTACCAACCTCAGTACCACCTGGAGTTCCGTTTTGCTCAACCCTGTACTTCATTGCCCTGAGTAGCTTTAGTTCATTCTGTAAGACGTCAACGTCCTCACTTGTTATTGCCAGTATGGATTCGAGCTTCTTCGCCTGGTCAAGTTCTTGGATCATGTCCTTGATTCTATTTCTGGTTTTCTCCATTGTGTCTAAGAATTTAGTAGCTTCGGCCTGTCTTTGAGCTTCAATAGCTTCTAGTTCACTAATTGCTTCGATCTTAGCAAGCTGAGCAAGTACTTCTTCGTCGTTTGCATCTTCAATTTCTTTTCTCAGTGCTTCCACAGAGCTTGAACAGGACCTCGCTCTCAATATCGTGTCTTCTGTTTCTTTTTCTACCAACAATTTGGCTTCTTTAACCGAAGCCATATCAAGCTTAAGTCTACTCAATTCCTGTTTCACAAGTTCTAGGTCTTTCGTCATTTCCGCGTACTGAAATTTATCCACTTCAACATTGAATGACAACCCATTTTCACTTCTTTCCGGCTTCAGTATTTCAATCTCCCGTCTCTGCACTTCTGTGTTCAACTTCGATTGCTCAATCTGCAAGGTGAGATCCTTTACCATCTTTCTTGCATTAAAAAGCTCAGGTTCTGCTTGGGATTTTACAGACTCTTCAAACTTTCTGCTCTCATCTAGTCGACCAATTTCCCTGTTTGCCAAATACAGTTCCTTTGCTTTTGCTTTTGAAGGTAGCTGCTTCATTGTATAGATTTTTAATCTTTACTACTTCATTTTAGCAATAAATTGAAGGAAGAAAATAATAAATCATACAGATAAATTATTAGACAAGGTAAAAAAACTTGGATGTTTCTCATGTCCGTACCTCTGAGAAACCAATTTGGGTATTTTGGAGCTCAGGCTTTCCCCCAAGAATCCCCTCCCTGTACAAACTAACAGCTGTTTTAATCGATCCGATTCGGTTTCTGTTATTGGCTTCTGCTCTATCCATTCCACTCTTGATTCATATTCAAACGATACATGACATTAAAATTCGTTTTCTTACCAAAAAAGAAAACAATAACAACTTCATTTCTCTGATTCAAATCCTCATTTACCTTAAATTTCCAAAAAAAAAAGTGAAAAGCAGCTTTGTTCAACAGATTACGTAGAAGCATCCAAGCTGAAATTTGGATTAAGAAAAAACTGAGTATCGAATAACTGAAAAGCAACCAGGAGATCCTTACCTGAATAATTCTTGATAATGTGCTCTGAAGAGAGAGTTGTGCTTCACTTTTAGGTTCGAGAGAAGTTCATGAAAGAAGATGAACACAATGCACACACAGACACTTGGTGATTGGGGTTGTTATTGAATGAAAGTAAGTGGATGTCACCAGAAAAAAAAAAAAAAAAAAAGAAAAAGAAAAAGCCAATTTTGTCATCTTCAATCTTGAAAATTCGGCAAAACTACTTCTGACAGTTGGTTGCATCAAAATTTGGTAGTTGAAGGACTACCATATTATATTGGCTCCAAATATATTTATCCCTGATAATGGATAGGGACAACCGTTTCCGCACCAGCTGTTGAATGATGCACGGCATTTAATTCTGAGACACCTTATTATAATGAGATGGTTGTAACTTGATATCTGTAACGTTAGGAGGCTTCCTATAATTACAATTATGCCCATGAAGTAACTATCGGACGCGGGAAACATACTCTTGGACTAGGAGGGTAATTTCGTCGGAGAACAATAAAATGTTGGGTCGTAAAGAAAGAGAATGATCGGAAGTGGATGGCAGTTCTGAACCGACTCGCTAACCCGTCAACCATTTATGACCCGACTCGATCCGAGCATGATAAAGCCAAATTGCTAGAGCCAGGTCGTGGGTGGAGTAGCAGAAATGACAACCCAAAGCAATGGGACAATCTCCTTTACCGCCCCCCCCCCCCCCCAAAAAAAAAAAAAAAAAACAGCAATGGACAATCAAATCAAACTTGTCAGTTAGCGGGTATGGACCGTGATATTGAGAGAAAAGACAAATTATCCAAAATCCAAATACATATAAGGGCTTTTACGTGAAGTTAAAAAGACAATCACATATATCAAAGGTAGATATCCCTCCACATCCCAGATTTTGGAGCCTGGCTATAAGAGTCCAAGAAATTTCTGGCCGAGCACAAGATTCAAGTTGAAGGTCTATATGATACGTTCACGGTTTGGTTGTATTCCCACAAGCCACAGACCCTGTTCTGTATTTTTCAAACACAGTTGTATCCTGTACGTAGTCCAGCGGGATATCCTAAGTTCCTAACCTAATTAAATGAAGGGATAATTACTTATATATAACATTTGGTTTGGGGAATAACCTCCTGTAGTTTCAAAATCTATTTATATATGCCTTGTAAGATGGCCATAAGTATCATCTGTCAAAGAAAATGTCAATGAGCGCTTCATATACCCATTATTTTTTTTTATAATTTCATTTTTACCTTTATATTCTTTTCTTTTTCTTTTTGTTTTCTTTCTTTCTCACTATTTATGGTTCTCTCTCTCTCTCCACTATTTGTAGGTGAAAAGGAAATGAAGAGATTATTATTTTTGATTAATTTTCACAAGGGCCGGTACACCTAAGAAATTAGATAATGGAAATTTTTTTTGGAATTTTTACAAGGGGAAAATTGGCAAAACAAAGAGTGGTCCCATTAAGTGGTGTTTGCAACTCTAAAACACTGTTGTCCTGTCTTGATTGTATTTGCAGTGGTAGAGAAGAGGGGAAGGAAGAAAGAGAAGATGAAAGAAAAAGTAGAAGAGAAGAGAAAAAATGGCAAGTTTTGAAAATTTAATGAATATTCAAAGACACTTTTGTCCATTAAATTTCATTTGCTAGACTAAAGGTTTGAAAGTTCAAAAATGTATATATATATAAATAATTTCCTCAAAGGTTCAAACCTCAGAGTATTAATAAGTAATTATAAAAGTAGATTTTTAGGCAATTGTCCTAAGCTCTAATGACAATTTCTAAAGATGTTTAATGGGCTAAGTCTGCCTGGTCGAAAACCGATGCAAGAACTGGGCTTGGGCTGTGGGGCTCGAGCTGCAACTTTAATCCAGTAGGTTGGGAGTTGGGACCATATATAATTTTGAGGTCCATTAGTTTGATGTACTGAACTGAGCTTCTGGTCCGATACATGTGCAACTTTAATAAATGTGAGGAGCCCGATTAGTGCACACTAGATGGCTATGTTACTGTGTTTAGGGCTGTTTAACCATTAACCAATGAGTTCAAATCTGCGCCCCACTGGCTCTCGCCCCACAAATGCCCCCACACGCCGAACGTCCGCCATCTGTCCCTTCGCACGCAGTTAGTTTGTCCCGCATGCGGGGCTAACAGAACGGCCGTTAGCTCATCCCCTGACCCCTCGTTCTTCTCCCTTCACCCGAGTTATCTTCTCCTTTTTCGGCACCGACGACCTACAACGACAACCGGCGATCATCCGGAGGTTGAAACTCCTCTGACGAGAGCTTAGGAGGAGTATGACGAGGATGATTTTGTTATCTCTAGATCGACTTGGACTCCGCAGCGGAGGGATTCGACGGAGGTTCCAACGGAATATTCCTTCCCAACCGGGTTTCTGTAAGGTTTGGTCGAAAAATCGTCAGAGCTAGCCCTGAAGGTATTACTACACTCTCACTCTTTCTCCCTCTGAACTCATTGTCAATATATTATAAAGATAAGATTTTTAGCGAGAAGGTAACATGTACCGGCCTTCTTGGTGCACGTTATCAGAAGCCAATTTTCTTT